TTTGATTAAGTAACGCAGCATAGAATGCAGATACAGGCATGGCAAACACACCTTTGAAAAGCTGGAAGTCCTGCGTCTATTTGTAGTCATTTAGTCACAATTAGAAGATGAAAACAAGTATGCAAATAATATCTTAAAAAGTGTTATTCAAAAAATTACAGCTATATATATTTCACCAAATTGTCCAAGATATCTAATATATCATATTTTAGCTAAAACAGTGTAATTTGAACTCATTATATGTTTTAAGTTTGTTTTTGGAGTGATGATTTACATATTTGTAAAAAGAGATATTTTATTTTAATTGTCAGATTGCATTTTGAGAATTGTATTACCTGGTGGGATTCAGTTTTAAATTTGTTTTATTTTTTGTATTATTACATTCATTAAAGTGCCAAGGTAATAGTGTCAGTACAAGTCCTATGTGACGTAAACAACACATCTAAAATATACAGACTGCTTACTTCAAGAAAGTTTCAGTTAATGAACCAAAACATATACCAACTGTTACATTTTTATTCTCTTTCCAAAAATGAGTAATATTTTAAGACACTAAACACTATAAGGTGGGTTATATGTTTTGTATGTGACAATCACGACTGAATGTACCCCCATTTATAATCAAAATAAAATAATGTACCCCTTAACTTTTTCAGCACCAGTTCCTTCCTTTCATCACAAATTCACAAAATATTCCTGTTTATAGTCTGCACTTTCCTTCAGAAGATTGGGACAAAAATAGCCAAATTTTAGTAAAAATTTAAAATTGACTAAAATTTTGTCTGTTGGCTTCAAAATTAGAATTCATTTTGAGAAATATTGAAAAATATAAGAAAAAAAGTGCAGAAAAATTTGGGCGAGAAAGTCTAGTAGTGAAAAGGTTTAAAGTGGATGTTACAGTACTGTAATTGTTCTATTAGAAGTGGATGTTACAGTACTGTAATTGCATGTTCTATTAGAAGTGGATGTTACAGTACTGTAATTGTTCTATTAGAAGTGTATATAACTAAAACTCACACTAATCATTATTTTGATCATAGAAACATCTCTGTATTAAATTTACATACATGTGAGCACAAGCTCTGCTAATGGAACAATCATTGAGAATGTATAGTTCCAATTCTGTATTAAATGAATATACAAAGTCCATTATTATAGAAATTCCCAATTATGGAGATTTTTTGAGGCAATAGTGATGTATTCTATTGGGTGAAAAAGATAATATGGTAGGATGAAATTACCTAGTGAAATACCGCAAAATTATGGCACGGCTGTAACTTATGGCGTTACGGTGACAGATGTATAATAATATGGAGTAACTATATATAATCCCCAAATACTTTCTTTCAGATTGACATCAGCGAGTGACAACCATAAATATTGTATCAATCTGATCTGAAGGTGATTTTTTGATTCAACAGATTTTTTGGAAGAACTGAATGATAATCAGTAGTTATCAGACCTTATACATTGTACATGTATAACCATGGAAGCTCAAGACAATGTTTAGACAGCACATACATTTTGGGTTACACTGTGGTGATATGGTTTTTTGATCTGTCTTGTTTGGCATCACATTGTGGTGATATGGTTTTTGATCTGCCCTGTTTTGTGCCACACGGTGGTGATATGCAAGTTACATGTGTATGCTTTTGATAATATAATATAGTATGCTTAACCAAATATCTATCTAGGTCATATATCTTTACAGACATATACATGTATATAGTATGCTTAACCAAATATCTATCTAGGTCATATATCTTTACAGACATATACATGTATATAGTATGTAACATCTGTTAGAGACTAATGACTTTTGAAAATATGTATAAAACATGATGGAATCACATGACTTAAATGACCTTTGACCCTGAAACAACCTGCTACAGAATTAATCAAATACCATAGACATACTCTGGTAGATTGTCACTTGAAATTAAACTGACACTGACAACCTTTAGTTGAAATATAGACACTTTAATTAAAACTAGATGATTTAGATATAATATTAGGCAGTGGTTTGTTGAGTCAGTATATAAAGTTACTGCTTGATACATATTTAAGGAACAAATTGAGTAATAACACCAAAAAGGGATGAACAAACTTGAGTGGAGGGGTGGGGTAAAACTGGAAAAAAAAATTAAAATAGAAAAAAGTCCCTTAGAAAAAAAAGGACAGAAAGAAAATTATTCAAAAGAAAAATGACAGCAACATTAATCAGGGATTAACATCTACACTGAGCAATGTATCTCAAAATTAGAAGAAAAAAAAGAATGGAAACAAAAATTTGGAAGAAACATTTTCAGTCATCATCTCTCCCAGAATCGATAATGCTGATCAAATCTTCACTAAAAATTGAGGAAAATTAATACAAGATGATTTATAGTCTTTCATAAATTATATAATTTGGAATTTTTTTTATAGTTTTCATAATAGTATATTTTTATCTGTACTGTATATTTTAAAGGATATGATTTGAATGATGATTC